CTCCGCTGCTTTGTCTCTGATCCAAAAAGGCTACACTCTTGGCCATTCAGGCCATAGATAGTAGACCATTAGACAAACCTCTTGTCACGCATGAAAACCAGGAATTGTTTGTCTGTGGGGGTATTGCACAAAGAAAGATTAACGTTTCAGATATTGCATTCCTTTTCTTGTCCTATTGTTCCAGGTTTCACCTGGTTGGTGAAACACAACCCTGTAATTGATTGGGTGATATCAGAAATATTGTACTTTGGAAGGAATGTTATTCTAATTGTTTTGAACAGGTATGTCATATTTGCAAACTGAACATACCTACTGCCTCTCCTTTGTCAACTTCTATACCTATGCAATAAGCTGATCTTGCCAAAGTATTTGAAAAAAGGGAGGCTGATACTATGCCCCCTTTATTTACTATGGAAAATAATAATAGAATCATGGAGGAATATATACAGGAATCCTTAAAGAAAGGATTCATTAGGCAATCCTCATCCCTTGCAGGCGAAGGATTATTTTTGTCTCAAAGAAGGAGGGTGATTTGAGACCCTGTATTGATTACAGGGGTCTTAGTAGGATCAGGAGTTATTTGATCATAGGAATTATTTGATCGTGTAAAGGGGTCTAAGTATTTCACAAAACTTGATCTAAGGGGTGCATATAATCTAGTGAGGATAAGACAGGGGCACGAATGGAAAACAGCCTTCAACACTCGCACCGGGCATTCCGCATACTTGCTGATGCCTTCTGGGTTATGCCCCTGCAGTCATTCAAGATCTGATAAATAATGTTTTACGTGATGTCTTACCCGTATGTGCTGTTGTCTACTTAGATTACATGCTCATTCATTCATCAGACCTTAAAACACATTATCAACATGTTAGGATAGTTTTGCACAGGTTACTTCAACACAGATTGTACTGTAAACTAGATACATGTTTCTTTGATCAGACTACAGTGTAATTCTTTGGTTATTTCATCTCTGAAAAAGGATTCAATATGAATTTTTCTAAATTAGAGGCCATTACATCTTGGCCACTTCTTTAAAGACTCAAGGCTGTCCAAAGGTTTATTGGGTTCTCAAATTATTATAGGGAATTTATAAAGAATTTCTCGTCTAATAAGTTCCATAACAAAGATGACCAAGAAAGTAGCTAATCCCCATGTTTGGAACCTAGAGGCTCTTAGTGGTCAAAATTTAAGCGTACTGGCTCTATGAATGATCACGGTGCATATAGACAATGGCGAAATATATGCACAAAACAGACAAAACTGGCCAAGGCCCAATATTTCTATGAAAATCTGAACAGTAACATCTCAAACCCTAGAAACTTTTGGAAAGTCATAAATAAACTACAAACTCCCCCAATCCACTCCCAACCCTCCACTGTCAAAGTGGGTAACCAAACCCTGCAACTTCCCTTAGATGTAGCAAATGCCTTTAACAATTATTTTGTCGGATGCTCTACTGCCCTGATTGCCAAGCTAATAAATGACACGCATCCTGAAACTACAAATGTGGATCAGGCCCCACTAAATTTGCAAAGGCCCAATATAGATAAGTTTAATTTTAGACCTGTACCTGTTAGTGTCATTAAAAAACATCTTAATAATCTAAAAATGAAAAACCAGTCCGGACCTGATCAAATCCCAGCAATGCTGTTGAAGCTCAGTGCGCCGGCAATTGCTAAACCCGTCTCAACTCTAATTAACGAATCCTTGGTGTCTGGATACATACCCAAACTTTGGAAGACTGCGAGAGTAGTGCCTATCCATAAAAGTGGTGACACTACTTTGGTTTCTAACTATCGCCCAATATCATTGCTCCCTGTATTGTCAAAAATCTTAGAAAAATGTGTCCATACGCAACTTTGTGAGTACTACCAACAATTAAACTATCTGACCCCTGATCAATCGGGCTTTCGCCAGAATCACTCCACTACAACTGCCCTCCTAAAAGTTTGCAATGACATCCAAACTGGCATGGAACAAGGAGCCCTAACTGGAGCTATTTTCCTTGATTTTGCTAAGGCCTTTGACACAGTAGACCACGACATTCTACTGCACAAACTCAAAAACTCAGGTATTGGTGATCATTCTTTAAACTGGTTTCGATCGTATGTATCGGATCGCTCGCAATATGTGTCCATTTCTGACAGTGACTCCCTCCCTCTCCCGGTCACGTGTGGTGTTCCCCAGGGTTCCATTCTCGGCCCCCTACTATTTACATTATTTATAAATGATCTGCCTAATGTCTGCCAATCCTCAAATGTACACATGTACGCAGATGACACGGTAATCTATGCGAGCAAATCCAATCTACCTCAACTTGAGGCTTTGCTCCAAGACCAGTTTACAGAGGTAGAAAAGTGGATCGCAAAAAACAAACTCTTCCTGAACACTGACAAAACTGTCACAATGATCTTTGGAACGGTACCTAAATTACACAAATTACACAATCCCCACCTATCCATCAAAACAAATTCAAATGGCACACTGACCGCGGTCCACTCTTTCAAATACTTGGGTATGATATTAGACCCCAATCTATCTTTTGGCCTGCACATAGAAAAGCTTGCATCTAAACTTTATCCAAAATTAGGTGCCCTGTACAGAAACAAAGCCTGCCTAAGCCCTACAGTAAAGGAAAAGATTGTACAGCAAATGCTGATGCCAATCATTGATTATGGGGATGTAGTATATGCGTCTGCATCGCAATCCCACATTAATAAACTCAACACATTGTATAACTCGTTCTGCAGATTTGTGCTACAATGTAATTACAGGACCCATCATTGTGACATGCTAAAGGAACTAAACTGGCTGTCGCTGGAATCCAGACGCACCCTTCATCTTTCCAGCCTTGTTTTTAAGAGCTTTTCTGGGAAACTCACACCCTACCTGAACAAAATGCTTTCCCCAGCTGTTCCCACTTTCTATAACCTCCGATCCAGTACAAGCACTTTACTTAGTCTACCTCAATACAAAAAGAAAGCGGCCCGATCCTCCTTCTCCTACAGAGCGCCGCAATTGTGGAACGACCTCCCGCACAATTTAAAATCTTCCCTAAGCCTAAAGTCATTTAAGAGATCCCTCTCTACATACCTCAAAACAGAATGCACATGTCATGGTTGATTATATATTTCCTGCCTGTTCTATGTTAAATTTTGTATATATTGTGTATTAATATTGTTTTTGTATTTTGTTGTACCTAATGTAACAATGCAATGATTTGTGGACCCAGGACGTACTTGAAAACGAGAGAAATCTCAATGTATCTTTCCTGGTAAAATATTTTTATAAATAAAAATAAAATAAATAAAAAACCTGAAGAAAGCGTTTTCCAAGCATTATTACTTCATCTTGATCCATCATTGTCCTTCATCTTAAAAGTAGACATGTCTGAATCTGGTGTGGGAGCGTTTTTGTCTCAGAGAAAGACCCTTAATGAACCTCTTCACCCCAGTTGTTTCTTTTCCAAGAATCTGGTAATTCATTTAAGTTATCACCAAATTAAAAAGAATGTCACACATTGGGACACATTTTCATTGGAGTGGAGGGGGGAAATTTGAGTTTATCTGGAGCCAAACACTTTCTAGAATGGGATGTGGACAAGGCAGGGATGAGAGGGTAATTACCCCTGAAGCTGAAAGAATTTAATCGATAATTTGTGCAAGGATGTGCTGCCTCATTCTACAAGAAGCAGAAGATAAGAGACCTGTAGTAATAGTAAGGGTACGTCATTACAAGTTCTCCATCTCTTCTGGATCAGGTAAGTGTATTAAACATTATTGTATTTTTATTATGCTAATATGGCCAAGCCATGTAACATGTCAAAAGGACTAACCACAGAGATCATTCTTATTGGATATTAACAATGGGGTCAAATTGTGGGGGTATTTGTCCCTAGTCGATGCAGTAAGGTGAACATCTAGACACATTAGAATCCTTTTTTGTTATTGAAAAGGAAATGATGTATTAGCTGGGCACTCAAGGCTGCAGTTATTATCAGACCCAGGATATCAGATTGGAAAATCAGGCATTTTCTCATCTGGAACAGGAGGTCATCTGCACATGCTGAGACCGTGTGCTCACCAGTACCATATATCGATGTTGCAATACCATATATCGATGAGTGGTTGTGAATGCATCTTACGAAGGACTCTAATGCCAAAGTGTCAGGATTACAGAATGATCCAGCACGTAGAATTGTGTAACACAGGGGACTGATAGGTAACGTATACTGGACCTTAGAATGGCTGGACTAACGTACCAAAGAATAGTCAGGAATATCCAAGGTCAAGGGAAACAGAAAGAGACACAACGATAAGGAAAAGCCAGGAGTCAGGGATGCCAGAAAACAGGGAAGTCAAAAACAATGCCAAAGTCAAATAACCAGAATAACCAGAATTAATAACGCACTCTCGGACAACCACAAGGGAAACCACGACAGGGCACTGAGCAGGATGAGAACTGGGCCTAAATACCCCTCCTCTAGATCTGATAGGCTGTAACCGGCCTTTGACCCCAAAGGCAGTTACCAGGTTTTACATTTGCATAATTGCTGCTCAGCATTAACCCTTCTGTGGATTTGGTTGCTGCTCGGCACAACTTTTCATGTGTGGACAGTAAATGCCATTAACCACATTTTTATAAGCGGATGAATACGTGACACAAAGCAAATAATAGAGGGCATAGTGGACATTTATGCTTTATACGATTTGCATTTAAACATGTTTCCGACAAAGATCCATTCAAGTTAATCCTCGCAGTATGGGCTAAATATAAAGTCCTTTTCCAATAATACATGTTAAGTCCAAGGCCTATATGAAATAAGGTTGAAAAAAGGAAGGGCCAGTGTAACCTGTAAATAGGCTTTTTCTGTACGTCTAGAGAAAAGCAGTGTGGGAGAGCTATGAATCCTGCACCTCCTGGCACAAATCCCACCTGATCTGGGACAATCAGATGAGGCATGTATCTTTTAAGGCGGCTGGCCAGTACATTAGCCATGAGGTTAAGATCTGCATTGAGCAAAAATATGGGTTGGCAACTAGGGTAAAGCTTTAGGTCTTTCCTATGTTTTGGTAGCACAGTTATGGATGCATAAATGTTGTGGGGATGTAATGTTTCCACCTCTTGATCACAAAGCCAAAAAATGGCAGTGCAAGAAAATCTATGTAATATTTGTAACAATGTACATTTAAATAAAGGCCTCACCATGGTCATCACCATAAATATGTAGAAACATGTATTTGTGAAACAATAATTAAAGAAGTGTGACTCCACCACCTGTTGCTGTCACCCAATGAAAGTCCTAGATGACAAGGTAAAATGACAACTTTCTTTTAGGTCTTCAGTCTATTAGTACTTAAGAGCCTATCAGAAAGCCAATGGGTAATGTCAGAAATCACATTAGACCAGACTAAACATGTCTAAGGGTTCTACACCCTTTAAAATACCTCAATATCTTAACATGGTGAGCTACTCTGCCTCTCTGGTGCAATATTAGCCATCGCTATACTGCAAAGTAATAACAGAGACAGCATGCTCTTTTCTAACGCACATGTTTATTTACTACAGCCAGAATTTTTGGTAAGTCAAAGTGACTTTAAAATTTAAGGTCAATGTAGCCAAACTGGGAGCACAGCTGACTAGGAGGTTTTGTTTTTCCTGTGAAATGCTTCCACTATGGATCTGCTTGCACTGTTATTCCTCATATTCAGAGTATTTGTGTTAGGTAAATAGGTAGTTAGCTGCAATGAAATCTATTTGCTGATTTTGTAGCCGGCACTAGTGTTCCCCGTATATTAGACTTCTTACTTTGGATCACCAGTTTCACTACTTGACTATTTATTTTGTACATTTAATTATTATTATTATTATTTTATTATTTATATAGCACCATCAGACTCCGTAGCACTGTACAATGGGTGGACTAACAGACATATAATTATAACCAGACAACTGGACATACAGGAACAGAGGGGTGGAGGGCACTGCTCCATGAGCTTACATTCTAGAGCAGGGGTTCTCAACCCAGTCCTCAGGACCCCCTACCAGTCCAGGATTTGGGGATTACCTGGGTGTGTCTAAGGTGTTTAGAAAAAGGGAAGAAAAAAAAAGCTTAGACTCTAAGGTGTTTTTATTTCTTTTTCTAAACAACTTAGACAAACCCAGGTAATCCCTAAACCCTGGACTGGTAGGGGGTCCTTGAGGGCAAGGTTGAGAACCCCTGTTTTAGAGGGAACTGGACCCTTACTTTGCATTCATTATTTTTATGGAGATCCAAAGGCCTACAGAAAATGCACTATAAAATGGGAATTATAGCTCCTTGTCTACCCCTTTTAAGACTATAAACTGTCTTAAAATGGGTAGACAAGGAGCTAGAATTCACATTTTTATTTTGCAATAGCAATTACACAAAATATACCTTTTATTTTTTTACTTTAATCTTCATTGAGGTATATGTGTTTTGTGCTGACCTGAGTTTCCTTAAATTATATTTAGAATATACATATATCCACTGATGTTATAACAGAATGGCTACTAAGTGCCTAATTATGTCCATTAGAAAAAAAGGTTCCAACATGCACATATGCGTATGTAAATATACACTTTATTTTTTATGCAGTTTTCGAAATGCCCAATTTTATTTTTTGTAGCTGAATTTGTCTAAAATAATACAAATTAAACTTTTATTTTTTTGTTATAAAATATTAATTTTATTTAAGAAAAATACAAATTTATTATAATTAAAAAGGCTGAAATATCAAAGTTCAATTTTAGCTCCAGGGGTGATACGGAAAAATGGGAACATTTTATTTTTGAAGCCAGTACGAAAGTGTCTTTTGTGAATACATCCTTTAGCATCATAATTAAACACAGATATTGTTTTACCTTCATAATCTAAACATACTCTAAGCTTTAAAGTCTTGGGTACTGAGTCCTTCTCTTTGGTGTCTGTTTTCTTCCTATTTTCTTCTAAGTCCTTCTCTTTGATGTCTGTTTTCCAAATCCACACAGAATAAATCCCATTTTTTTGATTGGGAATAATCAAATCATTTTTCTGCACAGAGGATTCTGCTACACCCACAATGCATCCGTTCCAGTCATCAAGCATTTCCACCACCCAGAAGTGCTTTCCTGATGTAAATCCTTCATTCCCAAGTGCATATGCACACAATTTCTCAGACCTGTCAATCGATATGGATTCTCTTTTCTTCATATATATTTGGCTGTTTGATATTTCTATTTTATTACAAATGCATCTTGGTACCGTCAGGATGTTTAGTTTCACTGATTCTAAGGGGATAATCATTAGTTAGAATGAAGTATAATGAAGCAATAAGCAGAATAGCAGATGTATTGTAAAAAATATCTGAATAATCAATCTGTCTTTTGTTTAAGTGTGCACAAAGTCTATATTTCTTCATATTTTATAGGTAAGATAGATATATATATATATATATATATATATATAAAAATGTATATTCCGGTTCATTTTTATAAGCAAATGCTAAAAAAAAAAAAGTTCAAGAGAATACTAACCTTTTACAGGGCTCCAGATTTCATAGAACTCTAGAAGAATCAAAATATTTTTTTTGGATTAAATGATTTGAATTTAAATATGAAATATATAAAATATGAATTTTCACTCTTTCATGGCTAGTGGACAAGTGTAAAGTTTTTTTGTTTTTTTGTTTAAATATATTTTTCATTGTTATTTTACAAATTTAAACAAGTATTAAACATTTGAGTCCAACATCATCCTTCCGATCACAACAAACCAAAATAGTATATTAAAATATTTCAGCGTACTCCCGTATAATTTGTTTCTCAATTGAATAGTCTTTAAGTATTAGTATCTGAGAAATTACTATAATCTTGAGTTGAACTCCTTATCAAAAACTGAGGACAAAAAATAAGGGCAACTATCGAGAACAGAGAGAATGGGCGGTACCAACGTCTCTTCTTTAAAATATTAATTTGATCTGGAGCCATTTTCGGGAAGATATTATCAGTGTTTATCAGATAAGAGTAGCTATGCAAGGATTTGTTTTACTAGAGAGTAGACATTCTATTCTTTATAGTAGTCGAACCATTTTGTCCATATCTTATTACAAGAAACAATATTGTTGTCTTTAAAATAAGCCGCCTTTTCTATTAGACCTTGATATTGGATTTGGGCTTTAATCTCTGTTAAGGAGGGAGGTATGTTCTGTTTCCATTTTATGACAATACAAAGTTTAACGGCCATCAAAACGTGTATGGTCAAATACAGAGATGATTTATCCATTTTTGGCAAGTCTAAATGGAATAAAAATCTTTCTGGGGACAAAATAATATTCAACTTTAAATCAACAAAGAGTTTAGATACTCCCAATTTTAGAGTGTCCAAACCAATGGACAAGTGTAAAGTTTGAATACTGGCTTGGTCACTACATGCCAAAATGTTTTTAAATATATAGAAGGTTATTGCATACTTCCTTCATATCCTTCACTGGTGCTCTCCCAAACAAGAGCAGTAGCACTCCTATTCAAAAGGGGGTCAAAGTATACAGTCAGTAGATTAAAGCAGACTTTATTTGGACAAAGAGTGACAACGTTTTGGATAGATTGCATTTGTTATGTCCTATGTCAATGTTATGACATGTGTTTGTATTAGTGCAGTTAGGAGGCTGCTTCCTAGTACATTGCTTTTAATGACTTGTGATTAGAGTTGAGTGAACCTGTACTGAACATTAGGTTTTGTGGACCGCGGACCCGAACACGGACATATCACTGTATGTTCGGGTTGGAGTTCGGTGTTCGGCGATTTAATGGCGCATTTTCAAAGACTGCAGGGCAACCAATCAACAAGCGTTTGACTTGTGTGCCCTTAGAAGCCATCACAGCCATGCCTACTAATGGCATGGCTGTGATTGGCCAGTGAAGCATGTGACCCAGCCTCTATAAATAAGCTGGAGTTGCGTAGCACCGCACACACATGCAGTGTTATTAGTGTAGAGAAAGGATGCTGCCGCTGATAGGGACAGCTTAGGAAAGAATTCTGCAAACTAGTACATTAATGGGGTGGGGTGCACTTCATATCTGAGAGTCAAATAGAAGCTTCAAATAACGCGGTTACATCGGAGTTTTAAACAGTAAAAAATTTTTGGGTGCTAAATAGTACATTAGTGGGGTAGTACATTAGTGAGAGTCAAATAGAGTCGTCAAATACTGCTGTCAAATTGCAGTTTTAAAACCTAAAACTTTTTGGGTCCTAAACTGCTTAATCGTATTTTAGTGGGGTGCACTTCATATCTGAGAGTCAAATAGAAGCGTCTAATAGTGTGCTTACAGCGCAGTGGTAAACATTCTTATTTTCTGGGTGCTAATCTGCTACATAGTACATTTTGTGGCGTGCACTTTATATCTAAGAGTCAAATAGTCAAATAATGTGCTTTCAGCGCAGTGGTAAAAATTCTTATTTTCTGGGTGCTAATCTGCTAAATAGTACATTTTGGGCCGTGCACTTCATATCTGAGAGTCAAATAGAAGCAGGGGAGGGCTGGCAGCCTTAGGCCTGGAGGGCAAAACCAGTCAAGTGGCCCATTGCACCACCAAATCAGTTCACCATCCATGCCCACCTTTTCCTGGTTTTATAACGGATATTGATGTTATGCTAATCAGTAGCTCTTTGCCATACCCGCTCCTTCACGGCTCCAGGCACTGCTTGTTGTGAGTGTGAGCCACTGTAAATTAGGGGCAGAGGGCACTTGCACTGCGGTAAAGATGGGGCTGGACAGGAGGAGAGTGCAGTGCAATCAGTGCACTCCCCTCCTGTGGGTCACCAGTAGACTGGTGCACCTGCCCAGGATCAGAGCCGGTGCAAGGATTTTTGCCGCCCTAGACAAAATAAAAATTTGCTGCCCCCCCATGTAACATCACAATGCCCCACCCATATGAACTAACGCCAGTGCTGCACACAGTGTGTGTTTACATTAAAAAGCCTGCAGGGACCAGCTATAGACACCAGAACCACTTCATTAAGCTATAGTGTCCCTTTAATGTGAGGTACATTATAGATTAGTGTCACTAATAATATACTAGATTGCCTACTTACAAGCAGATGAGGATGATGATGGGCTGCAGTTTGGCTCCACTGGTCTGGTGTAGAACAGGATCTCTTGAGGCTGTTTGCAACTGTGGTCACAAAATTCAATGTTCTGGGAGAATTGGAAGCAGCTCCATTTTTTGGGGCCCCTTACACAGCTCAAGGTCTGGGCCCCAGGGCCTGATGGTGAGTATGCCCATAAGGCCCACAAGGCCCACTCATAAGTTCCACCCACCCATGAGTTCGCTCACAGGGAGTGGAGTGTGTAGGGGATGTGTTATGTGTTATTGTAGAGGATCTAATATGTGTGCTTATGGTATGTAGTGTATAGGGTTACCAGTTTGTGCAGGTGATGTAGTGTGTTTGTGTGTAGTGGAAGCAGTGTGTATTTGTGTATAAGGGATGTATTATGTGTTTCTGGTTGTGTGTAAGGGATGCATTGTGTGAATCTGTGTTTGTATGCATAAGGGATGCAAAGTGTGTGTCTGTATGTGTGTGCATTGAGTGTAAGAGATGCATTGTGTTTCTGTGTGTATGTAAGAAAAGAAGTGTGTGTGTTTGCATGTGTGTGTACGGGTTTGCATTGTCTGTTTCTGTGTATGTGTGCAAAGGATGCATTGTCTTTGTGTGTAAGGGTTGCATTGTGTGTGTGTGTGTAATGGATGCATTGTGTGTTTCTCTGTGTGTAAGGGAAGCATGTTGTGTTTCCGTGTATGTATAGGGATGCATTGTGTGTGTGTGCACGCGCGTAGTGTGAAAGAGCTCCCTGTCTTGGCCCCTGTCCTATAGAGCTGCCCCTTCTGTCCCATAGAGCTCTCCCCTGCACCTTTAGTGGTCTCTCCTCTCCCCCACCCTCCCCTAGCGGTCTCTTCTCACACTCACCCACCCTCCCTGTGCTCTTCTCATCCCTCCCTCCACCCTCCCTGTGTTCTTCTCACTCCTCCCTCTATGTGTTCTCCTCACCCCCCCTGTG